TTCCACTAAAGAATGGGACAACCCGGGTTGTCCCAAAAACACGTTTTTCTTGCTGAAACAGGTGGTTTTCCACATGGCTAACCCGGACTGCCATTTCAGTAGTGCAAGATGGACCACCGTTTTTTTGTCTAAAGAATGCTGGAGTTGTTGACAGGGGAATTCCAACAGTGATCAAATTATTCTAACCATGGACGGCTACATCATCCTTCTTAGTCGTAAACTTTTACTATGACTTTTCCAGATGAATGGAATCCATTCATAGGGACCGATGAGGACTTGACCCATCCAGATGTAAACCATTATGTTTTTTGGTGACCCCTGGTGCTCAGCACTTTTTTCTTGAATTCCTCACTCAATGGTGTTTGGCCGGTGTGCTTTTCAATCCCAGGCACCGTCGGCTCATGGAATATTTGAACAAGTTTGCAGAGGTCTTGGAACCCAGCCTTTCTCAGATTGTGTGGCTGCTGTTGTGTAATCATTGTTACATTGCTTTTGTGACTATCCAGTGGTTAAGAGGGATTCATATTCCCTATATATTCCCTATTCAATGGGGAGCCAAGGAGCTACTTAGAGTTTCCCAACCATCAAATAGATCAGTGAATCCAGATTTCATTCTAAAAGACTCTAATTTCGGATCAAATGACTCTATTTTCGGATCAGATTTGATTGCATGTATGTCATGAATGAACCACCCATTGAAGATTGCATGTCATTATTGCTCAAGTGAATTTCAAAAAAAAATTGATCGCTCTTGCTCCTAGCTCCCGCGGTGTCTGACACGATGGATTCCCGTGCTTACTTCTGCTTGAATGGCGCCGAGTTCAGCCATTTGTTGTCCGGCAACATGGCTCACTGCAGCATCGAGTGCTATGGAAGCTCCCAGAAGGCCCAGCACATGATTGAAAGAATTTCTCATCAGATATTAAATCTTAGAGACTTCCATCCATTATGAAGTATTAACGAATATGGAGAGTTTTTTTGTTCCTGTCACTGTCAACAAATGCACCAAAATTTGCCCAATGGAACATGATACATGTATATATTTAAATATTAATAAATATGTTGTTTTCCCCGACCCAGGTCATGTTGTTTCATGTGAAATATGGTTCTTTAGTCATACTTACAAGAATCTCAAAGTAGATGGCTCAACTCAAAAACCAAAATACCCATAAGATGGCACCGCACGGTGAGAAAGAATACGGCGCTAATTTAACTGACACATAAAACGAGTTCCTACCAACAAGACCTGGTTTGGTGGTCGTTTTCGAGCCATGTTGGATTGGACCTATTATGGACATATGTTGGGCCGTTGGGGTTATGTTGGTCCATGTTTGGCTCTCTTGATTTAAGAGCCTCAAGGAGTCTTTGTTTGGTTTTTCCTCATTTAATGCCTTAAATCAGCGCCCAAAAGAACACGTTTTTTTGGGTCATGTCCGGGCCATGTTGGTAGAACATTGTGTTTATTAAAACGGGATCTTTTACGTCTCAATTAGCATCCAAAAGAGTCCCACTGTTTTTTGGGGCGCCATCTATGTGGGCATGTCCCAAAAAGGCAGCTTGATGTTCAGAAGAAAATATGGGGGGAAAACAGTGCAGAAGATTGCAAAAAAATATGTAATTTTAGTAGAGACATATAGATGGCTCAACTGACCTTTTTTGAATGGGAGTTGAGCCATCTATTAGTCTATCCCCCGCATTTTGCATTTGACATAGATGGCACAACTCAAGATTCTGAGCCATCTACTTTGAGTTATGAATGTTTAGTCTACTGAGCCATCTATTTTGCCCTTCAGGCAGTGTATGAGAAGTACCGCCTTCAAGTTCGCTCCCTGGGCTACAGTGCTTCAGTTGGTGGCAGCATCTATGGCACGCGCTTGGAGCGCAAGCAGAATCGAGAAGAAGCACATGTGGTCCAGCGCAAGAAGTTCCATTTGTTTCAGGTGGATGTTTGTGATCCGCAGAAGGCCTACCAGAATGGCTATGTCAGCTTGCTGGAGAAGAAGAAGCCAGGTACTGCCTTCGCGTTGAAACGCATTGACCTGGGCAAAGAGAGCGGCATTCTCCTCTGGCATTCGACTGCTCACCTCTCGGTGAAGTACTCCGAGGAGTATGCTGTGCAAGGCCTGCCTGATGACCAGAAGGACAAGAGCCTGTGGAACTTCTATACGCCTGGCTCGGACGAGTTGCACGGCCTCGCGACGAAGATCTTGGTGAAGAACATGACTGCATCGAAGGCTTGAATCATTAAAAGTTGAAATGGGTCATACATTAAATCATTATCATGAGGGTATGCACCTGACATGTTAATTATCAGATTGTTATCAGATTGTTTTTATCACTATAGCCCAGGGAGCGAACTTGAAGGCGGTACTTCTCATACACTGCCTGAAGGGCAAAATAGATGGCTCAGTAGACTAAACATTCATAACTCAAAGTAGATGGCTCAGAATCTTGAGTTGTGCCATCTATGTCAAATGCAAAATGCGGGGGATAGACTAGTAGATGGCTCAACTCCCATTCAAAAAAGGTCAGTCGAGCCATCTATATGTCTCTACTAAAATTACATATTTTTTTGCAATCTTATTTTTCCTCATATTGGGGCCCAGCCAATGTCATATCATTTGTCCAGAGTCCATAGGTTCATTTGTTTTTGCAGCAGTTGTGTTTTGTGATTGAGTGGCTTTGCAGGCGAAAGGCGAGACTTTGGCATTCTTCGTTGGCAAAGATGAATGTGCTCTGGTGACATGGTTTGCAGCCAGTGCGATGAAGAACCAGATCGAGCTGATTTGCCTGAAGTCATCTTCGATGCCTGCCAACATGGTGTTCTACAACCGGGATCTCTCCCCCTTGGCAGAAGCTTGGATGCTTATTATTTTTTGGTGTTTTGTGGCATACTCGAAAAACTCCGGAGTTATCCCTTGAATCCCTGTGGAATGATGGGTTAAAGACCCATACACATGACAAACCTGATTTTAAATCCGGGATTGGATAACACCTACAGAAAGGGGAGAACTTGGGCTAGAGTACAAATTGCCACCCAGTGCTCGTTTTGTACAAAAAAATCGCTTGTGCAATCTGTTTGTAGTTTCATTCATTTTGTAATGTTCCTAAATTGTTCGGAGATTGTTCATGTCAAATCCTCATTTGCATTTTGTAGTAATACTTTAAAAATAGATATAATATATTATATATGCAAATGTTGAGGAAGTTGAAACATCCATAAAATGTCATCTGCACTTTGTAGCTCCTCCAGACTTGACCAAGAACAAATTGTAGTTTGCAATGGGACAAATATTCACATCCTCCACCGTGCTGCCAAATAATAAGAACAGTAATTGAAGATGTAGCCAGTGCGTAACCTATAGTTATGGTTAACCCACTGCCAGTACAGAATGGTATCTAACAACTGCATGGGGTCAACACTTGACTTGATCCAATCAAATTCAACCAGTGACAATTACATATTTTTTCTGAAAAGAATGTTGGTTGGAACTTTGGATGGCATAGACCCAACTACAAAATGTTGATTTTTCAGCAACTTTCACAGCACTTTTGCAACCATCAAAACTGCATAGCTTGGCAGTTGGCAGCTTCCTGGCTACCGTTATCCCCACTCCAACGGATCATCATCTGAGGGTTATCCCAATAAGAATCCCATGAAACTCGACTCCACTTAGTCCCATGTTCATGCATACCCACACATCATATTGGTTATAAAATGTTATAAAATGTTATAAAATGTTATAAACAGGTTAACCTCCAATACTATTCCATGTAACCACCAAAAAAAACATTATATAGACCACATTAAATCCCACTAAACCTCAGTAAACTACATTAAACGACTTGAAACCCCTTTATAAATCCCATTGTGGAGTCCCATTCAGATGCATCGCTTCTTTTGCATTGCATATCTTGAATTGTTTTCTGAATCAAATCAGGTGCTTTGCATTTTTGAAAAGGCACCTGTGTAGCCAATTTTGTAGTTGCAGGTCGTATGCATTGTGTTGTACCGATCAAATTGCTCTGTGCAACTTCTCCCCCCTTATCTGAACCCCAATGATTTTATTGAACTTGTGCTAGACTTTTGCTAGACTAGACTAGCCATTTTTGTTTGCATGATTTTGCATGTACTAATTTGGAAGGCCTCAAGTTAAGGTCCATTTCAGAAGCAATTTTGTAGGGAATTGTTTGCACCTTGCCAAATGTAATACGAGGTGATATGTTGGATTCAAATGTGACCTCAAACTTTTGAAGGAATAATAGCTCCACCGAAACTTCGCTTGAATTTTCTAAACATTCAATGCTCAATCAAATTGGATCAAATTTGGCCATTTTGAATACCTACATGAAACCAATGATAATGGTGAATGTTTGGACTCCTGGCATTCTCCGGAGTTCCAAAACCACCACAGCATGCAGCAATGCCACTCAAACAGAACATAGCCCATGCACGGTTGCCGGTCTATCTGAACAGGAAGGAACGAGGGATGAGTCCAAGTTCCAAATTACTTTTTTGGTGCTCGGCTGAGTCGTGCATCTTAGCTGAGTAAACGCTGGCGCCCGCTAAGTAGTGTCTGCCACGGCCACACATAGTCTGTGCGCGGTTTAAATCCAGAAATCTCGGCTACAATTGGTTTGTTCAGTCTTAGCTTTTTCCTGAGCAAAAAACAGTACCATTTTGCATTAACAAATGTTGACTTACCACTGTTCATTCTGTAGGCTTTTTGCATATCCCCTAGGTTTATAATATTTTATAATATAATGACGATTTATTATTTGCACAAGAAGTGGGCCCTCACTCCAAGGTGAAATTTGAAGGTGATCTAGCCGTTTATTATGAATTATTAATAAGTTGCACTGTTTGACCCTGTCAGCTTTCTTTCAAACCAATGATTAATGCTATTATGTGGGTGGAAATCTCCAAGCAAACTTTTCCGTTGTTTGGGCCGTCTTGACTGGTGTCTTTATTTGACTCCATTTTGTGGCTTCTGCTGCAGGAAATGTGGATGGCCCCGAAGGACAATGACCTCATTGTAGTTGGCAAGGTCTTGGCGGATGTGTGTGTGATCTCTGGCGAGCAAGATGCTGTGTCGGACCTGAAGGACAAGCGGGCAGCGTTGTTGAAGGACATTGAGGTTGCATCGCTTCTCGAGCAGATCTATGATCTCAAGCAGTCGCTGAAAGAAGCTGAGGCGAACCTGAAGATCTTGGAGTCATCCGGCCAGGAGGAGAAGGGTGAGGCGACTGAGCCAAAGGCGAAGAAGTTCAAGGGAGAAGAGATTTTCGAAACGCCTGAGAAGCCGAGCAAGGAAAAGCAGCTGGAGAACAAGGAGGTCAAGGAGGCAAAGGAGGCGATGAAGCCTTTGATGGATGCCGCCAGTGGCCAGCTGGAGGACAAGTTCGAGGAGGCGATGAAGCCTTGATGGATGCCGCCATGTTGAGTGGCCAGCTGGAGGACAAGTTCGTAGGCGATGAAGCCTTGATGGACGCCACCATGTTGAGTGGCCAAAGGCCCTTGTCCTGTTGATGAATGCTCAGGGGCTCTTCAACAGCTGGATTTTTTGATTTTTGATTGATCACACAGCCTGTCACAGGCTAATTTCAATGGTTCAAATCGCAACTTTCTGCGGAGAGCGCACAAAAGAGAGACTATAGATGCAATATATTCAGATGTTTTTTTGAAGATGAGGATTTTTTCCTGATGCTGCCCAAATGTTGCCTTTTCCGAGGTTTAGACATGGATGGTTGTGGTGCTGCAGCACTGCATAGAGGCCCTCACTTCCATGGAATGAGTGAGACAAATTTCCACGCTTTGCCAATTGCCAATAGTTTCAAAAGTTTCAAGGTGTTCTTTTTGTTACTGTTGTATCAGACATTTTCGTTGCAAGAACGTTTATCATAAATTGTCATATGCCATGCTGGGCGTCAGGTCAGCTTGATGGGCTTTTGTTTTCAGCCTGATTCTCAGAAGTTTCTCACCATGTCAAGTCGGTGGTAATCTGAACTCTTCAAGCTCTCTCGTCAACTGGATGTGGAAAGTTAGATCATGTGTCAACTTATTTGTTTTTAGCTGCAAAGATCTTTTCATATCAGTTTCCTCCCCACGGAATCCAATATTTGATCATTCAGAGTGACTTGTGCATGCTTGCCTTGGTTCAATCAGAAAAGATCACTGGGGTGAGTGATCGGAAGGTCAAAGACATGCAAGACAGACTGTTCCATTGCCCAGCTGTCAAAGTAGCTGCCATCGAAGTCATTTCAAGACATTCACACGCAAAAAGAGCACTATAGTGTTGAAGCCGAAACACACATCAGATCCTGCTCCTCATGGCTTCAAGACGCTTGCGTGGAAAGACTTCTTCAACTGTTGCCAATTCCCGCATAGGGAAACAGTTGCATGGATGTGTTGCGCAGCAGCCAGCTTCCATATATAGTCATGCTGTGAAGTCATTGCCATCACACAAAAGACGCAATGGCCTGCAGAAGATCTATGAGGAGAACCGAAAAGTGAAGAAGAAACCTAAGGCTCCAAAATCTCGATATGAGGGCAAGATCAGGTCTGCAGACGGATCCAAAGCAAGACGCAAAGAACTCCAGAAAATCTATGAGGAGAACCGGCGGAGAAAAAAAAGCAAAGCGGGTATGTCAAGTAGGGCCAGGTCAAGTGTTCCTGCTGGTCCTGATGAGAAGCTTCCATCCCATGACTTTGAGGAGTTGAAATCTAACTTGAAGCTCATCAAGGCGGAAAATGAAAAATTGCGTTTGGAGAACTCCAGGCTTCGGGGCAAGAACCAAGAGCTTGAGTTGATCGCATTTGAGGCTGAGAAATTTGAAGCTGAACTTTCTGAAATCAAGGCCAAGCAACACCACAAGATCGATCTTGAACGGGAAGTTGAAAGGCTTCAATCGGAGCAATCCCGCCTTCTGGCCCAGAGCAAGGAAGTTGACTCAACCACAGAAACAGTTGTTTCAGAGGAGGTAGAGAAACTTCGCACTGAGCTATTTGATATCAAGACCAAATATTCAACCCTCCAGAAGCGTGTGGATTGGTACGAGCAGACCCGTGATTGGGTTTCGAGCGCAGGTGAAGGCATCCTACTTGACTTGATCGAGAGAGATGCTGCTCCGACGCCATTTCGTTGGGGCGGCCAATTGTTTAAAGGAAAGGCCAGGAGCCTCAAATGACTCCTAGCTTCACAATCCTTTGGTATTTCCATGATTCTACCATGAAATCTTGGAGGGGATCTGTGGCTTCTCATTCTGCCATGCCACGGGCTTACAAACTTGCTGCTGGGGAGAATGTAGAGAGTATATAGGTAATTATACTTTGAACCAGGCAACCATTTGAATCTGGGACATCGCAATGGTTTATGTCTTTCGATCATGCTGTCAATTTTGGATGCATTTTTGACAGGTATATATACGTATTGTTTTCAATGTTATTGACAGTAACTCCATGGTGCTCCCCTGATCAACTTCCATCATGAAATCGCATGTAAGCCCAGGCAACTTCAGCTGCGATAACGTCCGCCTGCCCAGTTATGTGTGACCTTGATATTTTTTATGGGTTTAAATGCCCATCAATATGTATTCATGCTCTATGCAACCCCTTAGGAATTTCATTTACAGTATAAGATTGGAGGATAAACATGATAAGAGCTTCTTTGTTTACACAATGCTATCTCTTTCTGTTGGGCTTGAGTGAGTTCCACCATTTTACAAGTATTGTGTGTTTGATTGTTTTTGGGTATCCGATCGGTATCAGATTAGTATTTTATAGTTATGTATAGTGATGTTAACCTGCTGGATTACAATCCTGTCCATTATCCCAGTCTATAGGGACCATGTCTCTGGAAAACCGCAATTTTCCAATGTCATGAGTCATCGGTTTCCATAATTAGTGGCCGAAACTGTTGTTTTAATCGCTCAGATAACAGATAACATATTCGCTTATTAATTATTACATATTATTACATAATCTCAATCTCATGGGCTCCCACTCCAGAGCTTTTGAAGGGTTTTTGATTGAGGTTAAGTGATAGATTCCACGAACTTAATAGTTTTCCATTTTATAGATGTGTACATCCCCATTTGATGTCATGGATATCTATAAATTGGGGACCTATGTTTCTCTATGCAATATGTTAGTGTTCCACTATATCATTATTGATAGCGGTGACCCGGTACCTCTCATGTGTGAGTGAGGTCTTCAAGATGTGAAGATGTGCTCATCAACTTCATTCGATCATGAGATGGCACGCAATCTCAGTCAGTGGAATGGTGGCTGTTTGTTTGGTTCCAAGTGGCGCTTAGCGTTAGGGAGTACGCCATATCATTTTTGGCAAGTGATGATTACTTTTTTGGGGGCCGCAAACCCGACTTTGAAAAAATAAACATAACAGAAAAAAAAACATATCTATATATAATTATATATCAACCAGTTAAACATCAGGAGGGAACACCCCAAGAAAGAGGTATGCACATGAAGTTCCTAATGCTTGTTTGGAACATATTATTAATTACGTTACGTAGCATTGTCGCCCATGATATATGTAATGTAATCTTCCATTCAAAGTATACATTCACACATTCATTGGTATTGTGTTTCTTTGACCATGCAAGATGTTACAATGTATTGATTGATCGTTGAATCCAACATTTCATGTCCGCCGGACCAAAGAGGTTCCATCCACTTCAAGCCGTTAATGGCTCAAACATTACATTTCACATGCAACCACACCTTTGACAGAGTATTTCGAATTCATTCAAACTCTCAAACATTGCACACTGACTACATTCAGAGAAAGCAGTAAACAGCCAGTAGATACAATGTTACAATGTCCACCATCATATCCACATGCACCTTTTTCTGCAATAATGGTGGCTCTATGTGATCAAATGCCTTTCAAGTTCTGCATTGATCGATCTTTGCCTCGGTGTTTTGATGTGCTGACTTCGTGCAGCCTGTTTCCCAGATCATGTCCGACATTCCTGAGGAATTGAAGGACAGAGTGGAGAAAGGTGGCCTGGCACTGTGAACCTATTTTGGCAAAAGTATTGAATTTCAAGGTTGTACTTTTCCCAACCTCCAAGTTCAGCTGTTCCAGCAGAATTGCTGAAAATTGAAGTTAGGTTTTCAGCAACCTCAGATTTACATGCATTTGTATTCAAATTATACAGTAATGTTCCACAAGAACAGCTGAAGTTCGAGGTTATGATTGTCCTTACCTTGAAGTTCAGCTGTTCCAGCAGAACAGCTGAAGTTCGAGGTTCCCATTATCCCAACCCCCAAGTTCAGTAGATTTGAGGTTTGATTGATTGAAGCCAGCCGTTCCGACAGAACAGCGGAAATTTGTGGTTCGGGCATTCCTGGGATGATATCTTGATTTTTTTCAACACTGTTCCAGCAGAACAGCTGAAGTGGAGGTTCTCATTTAAGCAACCCGCAATGGCACTAGATCTGAAATTTGAATGGAATCAGCCGTTCAGACAGAACAGCGGAAATTTCTGGTTCGAGCATTCCTTGGATGACATTTTTTTACAACACTATTTCAATTCAATGGACCGGAACAATGTCAGTTGAAGCCGTAGGTTTGTTTCCAAAGAACCAATATTACTTACCCCTTAAGATTTGTCTCCGGAATGGTGGGGCTAAAGATCCATATAAGCCCGATTTTATGATCATTTAAAACTATAGGAAATCATTTTCATTAGGTCTGCCATCTTGTAGGGAGTTGCTTGTGCCTTGCCTTTTTGTGAGAGCAATAATGGATGATTATAAGTGATTCCATTTCCTCTCAGAACGAGCAGAATATTCCTACAAAACTTGTGCACTTTTTTGGGGATCAGGTTCCAAGAAATTTCATTTTCGGAATAAAATAGAAATCGAGAACGTGGGCGCAAAACATTCATATACCTCCCTTATGTTTAGTCTTAGCTCTTGCATCTTTTGACTTGCCCCAACTCATTATGTAGTTGTTTTTATTTTCAAAAGAAGGAGTGGGTCCTGATCCCTTGGTGAATTTTGAATTTTGTTTGGAACCTGAGTCCCTGGTTCGTTGCTGTTATAAAATAAGGCAATGGCATCATAGAGTTGGAGCCGGACTTCATTGATGACATTGACATGTATGTTCCCGAGATTGATCCTGAGAACCTCATTGATTTGGAGGATGATGGTGGTGAGAATTTGTGCGGTGATGTGCAGTCAAATGGCAGCTGCATTGAGCTTGAACAGCTCCAAGATGTTCAGTGTGAGGATGCCAAGCAGCTGTGGGACCCTGGCATGAATGTTGGACAACATGTTTCTCGCAGAAGAGGCAAGTTATTTGAAATGACCCAAGCCTCGCCATAATTACATTGATATGAAGTTTTAAATGTTGCAAGCCTGTGTATTTGTCCAAATGTGCTGGGTTCCGTGGAAGTCTTTGGGGGCTCAAAGAAACAGGCCAATACTATTTTTTGGTGTTGGTCTGTCCGTGTTGGTATATTATTTTTCCGGCACAGGTGTTCCAGAGACATGTCTGAAAGCTTATTGAGATTATGATTCGCTTGAAACTGTATTAATGCAATTGTTTCTGGCAGGTTTGGCAGAGCAATCACAGGTTCTTGTGACCAATCTGTACCTCAACTTGTGCAAACTCTCCAAGAACACGTTGTCTTCGATTCTTTCTGCATTACCAAAGACCCAGCAGGCCAAACCATTGGCATCGCAGGCTGCAGCAGCTCTTCTACGGATTTCCGCCAATGGCATCCGATGCTTGACCTATCTCTTTTATACATGTTCCTGTTTTGTTTGAGTTTAACAGACAAACAGCTTTCCAGATCGGTGTTTGCTGACAGCATTTTTCCGGACAGGCACATTCACCTGTGTGCAACATTGTATGATGTCCTGAACATTTTCTTGGTGTGCCAATCCCACTATTCAGGATTGCCATTATTCTTGTTTGATTTATCATGGTTCATCATGATTTTTCTACTGTAGAGCAGCATTGGAAGAGAACTGCTTGCAGGAAATGTCATTCGAAAAGTCCGAAATGCTGGATGGAACCCACTGAAGCTGGCACCAGAGCGTTCTCCCCATGAGCAGGTCAGACGTCCAGGATATGATGAGCAAGAGATTGAGCGTGGCCGATCTGAATCCTTCACCATGAGCCTCTTGGTAAGAGAGGCGCTGGTCAACTGCGCCTATGCTCGTGCAGATGAACATTATGTTCTGACTCTTGCTCGGCTGAGAAATTTGGGCATCGACACAGGAGGGGCAGTTTCCACACAACATGCTGTTATATTTTTTCATGTTGTGCTTTATTTTCCAACATACATTGGCTGGAGAATACCTACCGGTTTTAGATGCAGCAACATTGCATTGCAGGTGACAAGTATGCAAGCCGGGAGTTTCTCAGACTCGTGGAACATTCGGCAGCTAAACTGCTCGAGTTTATGCAGGCTGACATTATCAATCAGAGATTGTATGGTTTGGGTGTGCTGTCACCTATATGCATCTCCTTCGACTCAGTGTCGATTGGCGACAGCCTCTACGCAAGGAACGAAACATTCCAAGTTATCGTTGTCACAGTGCTTGACCTTTCCCCAGGAGTTCCTTTGTTGGCCACACATTTTTTGCAATGCCCGAGTGTGGGGCTATCCCATGATGGAGACAACCAGGCTGCATGCGTTCTTAAAGCACTGGAAGACCATGCTGGACAATTCAACAAAAGATCCTTGCGGAGGAGAGTTCTGACATTGATTGCTGGAGATGGTGCAGTAGCCCGCGGAGGGCAGTCCATGCGTCACGTGAGCACAGAGGCCTGCAACAAACTTGCCAAGTTTTTGAGCCTCATTATTCTGAATCCTTTTTGTTTGACACAAACATTTAATTTCAATACATGTTTATTTCTTTTGATTCCTGCCAGTCATTCTGTGCAGGTGGTTGGCAGTTGTGTTTTCAGTAGTTATTTCCAATGGTCCCGGCTCAGGTTGATTTACCCAGATGTTGAGCAAGAACTGGTTGAATGGGAGCGCTTTCATCGGAGCGAAGCAGCATTTCGAAAAACTTTGCACGTCAATTTGCACTAGTGATTTTTTAGATTGATAGTTTGGTTGGCCAAGTTGGTATGCAGCAATGTCATCACATCTTTCGTTTACGAACACTTATTTACTATGATTTTGGAATTCCATTGCCATCATCATCATCATCATCATCAGCATCAGCATCATCAGCATCATCAGCATCATCATACTCTAACTGCGGTTGCACTGGCATCTGACAAACATGCGATGGATTTGCGATGGTGTTCCAAAGCCACCTCTCAAGGTGGAGCTGATGCAAAACCTGCATCATCATCATCATCATCATCATCATCATCATCATCATCATCATCATCATCATCATCGACAGCGACATCGACAACGACATCGACAACGACATCGACAACGACATCGACAACGACATCGACAACGACATCGACATCGACAACGACATCGACATCGACAACGACAACGACATCGACATCGACTTCGACATCGACATCGACATCGACATCGACATCGACATCGACAACGACAACGACATCGACATCGACTTCGACATCGACAACGACAACGGCATCGACAACGACATCGACATCGACATCGACAACGACAACGACATCGACATCGACTTCGACATCGACAACGACATCAACATCGACTTCGACATCGACATCGTCATCATCATCGTCATCATGAGGTGATCCGTAAGCGATGATGGAGGTGATCCGTCAGTGAGGTGATGATGGAAGGAAACATCTCCACCGCACAAGATGATGGAGTTGATCCATCAGTGAGGTGATGATGGAAGGAAACATCATCCACCGCACAAGATGATGGAGGTGATCCGTCAGTGAGGTGATGATGGAAGGAAACATCATCCACCGCACAAGATGATGGAGGTGATCCGTCAGTGAGGTGATGATGGAAGGAAACATCATCCACCGCACAAGGTGGAGCATGGTGGAGCTGTTCCAAAGCCACCTCTCAAGGTGGAGCTGATGCAAAACCTACATGGTGATGAGCAACCTGTTGTTGTCATCCAGTGATCCGGCAGCATGAAGAGCATGCTTTGTGAAGATCAGCGAGGTGATATAGTCATCCTCAGCTTCCTCATCCTCCACCTCATCTTCCGCACCATAATCATCATCATCATCATCATGAAACCAACTGAATCAAATCGAACATATGAATATGAATCAAATGTTGTGTGACTGGAATACATCAAATGGATGGTAATCTTCCTTTTCCCAGTCATTGAGGCAAGAATCCAAGTTCGCACAGGAAATATTTGCAGTCGGCAAGGCAATGGCTCAGCAGTTCGGCATTGGGTCAGGCAGAGTTTTGCTGCGGAGCATTGGTGAACTCACTGAGGAGCATCCCAATGAGCGATCATCACCAGCTGCAGAACCTTTTCTCCATTCGTTCATTATTCCATAATTTTCCATATCCGGAGAATGGGTGCTTGACATAATACCAAGCAGCTACTTTTACAGGTTTCAACTTTTAACCAAGACCCATTATGTTGGGGGTTCTCTAGTAACCAGTTCCTATTCATTAATGTAGAAGGTTAGCCAGGTTGATTTTGTCCCAGCAATGGGTTCTCAATTCAACAGGTTCATGCAAATTTGGGCTTCCAGGGCCAAGTTTTTTTTTTGGGTAATGGTGTGCAGCTTCCCAGGATATGGGCGGGACCCGCAAGGGGGAAGCCATTACGCGAATAGCCGACAACATCCTGAAGAATTACCGCAAGTACACTGTTGGCCTGCATGCAAAGGTGGCCCGGAAGCGGGAGGGGCATGGTGCCTCTTCTGTTGGTAGCTTGATTTCCTTGGGGCGAAGACTCCTGTCTCTGGACTTTGTGTTGTTCACCATCCTGTTCAAGGATGTTATCATTTGAAAGTTGCAGATTTTTCTATTTTTTACATATCTTATATTTTGGAAAATATCATGTATATCCCCCAATGTATAGCTCACTATAAAGTGGACATCCTTTGCACTTATAATAAATGGGTTTCCGGTCGCCACTTTAAACCGACAATGGGGGAAGATGACTTTATACAACTTGGCTTTCCAGTTTATACCCGGCTGGTTTCCCCACAAGGAATCGACTCAATATATTCATTTTATAGACCGCTGGTTCCCTTTAAACAATTCCCATAATATGTCACGCCATCCACTTCATAGAAACCAATCTCCCCAATGATTTCGGGCCAATATTTTTTTGTTGGGGCTATATACATGGCAAAACACTTTATAGAGTGAAATTTGCCCTTTAAGAAGGAAAATTGTGCTGCAGCCAGGGCACTTTATAGAAAGAAAATTGTGGCAGAGCATTTTATATATTTTATAGAGTCAATTTCCTTTGAATGAAAGGGGCCCTCGGGGTGAAAGGTGTACATGGGGGATTCTGTTCAAGCATAATGTATTTATTATATATATACATTGGTATTCTGGCCCAAAGATTTTATGTGCTCATTCTTCGCAGGATGTCATGACGCGCCAGAGGATTTTTACATTGTCTGTCCAACAGCAGGGATCACTTCCATGGATACCAGAGCAATTCTTTCAGCGGAAACAACGGGAAATTACGGAAGACTTGCTTTACCTCAAGCAGCTACGTCAGCTCATGGCAGTTGCAACATTGCTCCAACATTATGTTGACAAGCCCAGTCTCCAAGCATTTCTTCAAGCCAATCTGTACACTCCTTTTGGTAAACGCTACCAATGTTGTGTGCAAAGCCTGTACTCAATGATTGTCCACAGACGATTTCATGGTGTGGAGCTGCACACATTTACGGACCTTCACCAGGGTACTATATGTTGCACTCCTCGATGTGTTTGCCGTGCCCGCTGTGCTGCCCCTGCTGGTGGAGATAGACGAGCCCAAATCAGTGTCAGACTAGGCATGGCAATGGCTTTGACAATGGCTTTGACAATGGCTTTGACATTTTTTCAAACGGAACCGAAAATATCAGAATTGATTGATATATTTATTAATGCATGCTATTGGGTTTGTTAGATTACATTTGATGGGTTAGAGCCGGGGTCTTCTTGCCCAGTTTGTTCTTCCATTTTAGCCCTGAGTCAGGCAAGAGGAGAATCAAGAAGAAAATATTCGTGCCAGACTGGGTGGCCTTTTCCAAGATTCCGAAGAGTCGACTGCAGAGTGATTGCAATCTCACATCATTGCTTGATTGCGCTCTTCGCTATGATATTTTCGAAAAACCAACGATTCCAAGTCATCTTCAGGGTGCTCCCATGTTTCGCATTCATCAAATTCAATGCCAAACCAGCCGAATCATCCCTGACGTCTATGGCCACATGCAAATGGCGTGTTCTGCACTGGCCGAATTTCTGGCTTTGCTCAAATCAAACTATGATGAGTACTGGGGCAAGGTCGGAATTCCAAAGCATATTCAATCCTTATACCTGGACTTGGCATGTGCTTTGAACATTCCGTATCTTTTGAAACATGCACCTTTGGACGAGCAGAAGGCTGCGTTTTGCCGTTTGGCCGATTCTTGGTTGATTGAATGAAGTGAATTGATGTTTGATTGAAATTTGAGTCTAGAATCATAGATGCAAGGGTCCCTGGTATGAATGTATCAATATTTTTGGCCTGGCAAACATTACGTACAGTAAAATTGATCAAAATTGTACAGTTGAATCAATAGCACCAAATTCAGCATTCTTGTAACTAGCTGTCCCTGTGCCAAACCCAGGATATTTTTGGCCAGCGGATGGGTGACTTCGCCTGGCCCGACAGGGATGAGTTTGGCTATGTGGAGCGTGTGTGGCCGCAGGCCAAAGAGATGAAGCGGCAGTTTGCTGTTCTTTCGCTGATTTTGCGCCTCAACAGTCACCGACAGGATTGGTACAAAGTTTCTAGCTACCTTCTCTCCATTTCCATGAAGCTGGATCCCTTCTTCTCCATGATTTTGGGACGTTGCTTAGGACCATTTCCCCGTGCAAAATGGAATGAACTGTTTGCCATCAAGCAGAGAATTTGGAGGTATCTGGAGCCCTCAAGAACTGGGGCCATGTTTGAGGGCAGCACAGATTCACTGGGCAAGCTCGGCCAAAAATCTCGTTTCAAGCAAGTTGTGAAGTTCAAGAAAGATTCGGCTGCAGTCTTCACCAAAAATCCATTCAAAGATCGCATTGTGATGGTTGAGCAGGTGTTGCAGGACCAAACATGTGAAAAGTTGTTGTGTTCAATTTTTGTGGCCTTGCCTTAAGTGCAATAACAATAAAACGACGATTTAGGCATATTAGGCCTGTAGTCACTATCATCATATCAATCTCAAAATGCAGTTTGAATTCTTGGCTGGGTTGGGCCCTGGGTTGGGGCCATTCATTTTGTAAGGAATCATTGTGTTGATTTAAGGCATTATTTTGCAGGGAATCGGTGCTATTCTTGGAAACGAGCTGCATGCCAAATTTCTGAAGGGATTTCGGTTGTTGCATTAAGCCTCTTTGTAGCAATATGAAAAGTTATGATGGAGGGAAACTCAACAAATGGTGGTGACACCCCTTTACTCATCATCAACATTTTCAAAAGAAAGGCAGCAAACATCGACCCTGAGAAGCGATGTCGGCATATAGATAAAAAATAGCAATGTAGTCAAAATACGGCTACATCTACGTTAACGCTTGATTTTGGTGACATTTGTCGGAATCTGTCGGAAATCCACCGGATTTTGTCGGAAATCGATGAAAAACGCAGACATCCTTTGTTTCGAAGATGCGCATGCGAGTTGATCATGGCCATATGTAGTTCAAAATCGTGACAAATCGTGACAAAACATCTTTTTGCCACTTAAAATTATGACATTTGTCGAAAATACCGTGACAAAACGTGATGAACCGTGATCTCTTCAGGATTGACCCCTCATCTTATATCAGCCCCTGTTACTTTTCGCTCGTGCTCACCGCATTTTACGGTAAAATTATGGTTCCGGCAAATGTTTCCAAATTTTGGCTACGGACGTCAAATAATGCATACGGACGTCAAAAAACAAGGTTTACCGCAAATGTCAGCAAATAGACCCAGCATTTGATTCACAGGGTTTCCTTACAAAACAGATGGGTTGTTCCGTAAAGACAGCTGAGGGCTGAGTCTGGAAGATGCAGGGAAATGGCAGAGCAGAATGTTCCTACAAAAAGCACAGTCACATTTTGGGGATAGGTTCCAAGCATGCAAGCAAGGTTCATTTTCAGAATAAGATAAAAATCTGAACAGCCTTCTGAAATCTGGGCAGCATATAATATACCTCCCTAGAATCTTAGAAGTGCAGTCACTAGCTTTTTCTTGAACAGAATCCTACAATTTTGTAATATATGAACAAATGTAGTTCACTCCGTAGGCTTTTTGCAAATCCCCTATATTATAAGAAGTGGGCACTCACCCTTTGGGGTGAATCTCAACTCAATGCTTCATCATTCCGTGAATTGAAGCACACTCCCTGCTGGTCCAACCCATGTTTCTGCAGGAGCCAGATTGTGAGGCCATCATCAAAGATCTTTTGGCAGACAGAGCCTTGCACAGGTTCACTTCCGAACAGAGCGGGCGAACAACACACTGCTGGCATGCATGCTTTCTATTGTGTATGTGTTGCACCTGCAATGGTGCCAGCTCTGAATGCGAGAGAATCGGCTCCGTGCTTCATAGCCTTGAAACTGGAGACTCTGCTATTTATGCTACAAGGGTTGCCAACCGACTTCGCTTGAGAGTGGCAGGCTTTGAGGGGATTTCCACACGTGATGAATGGATGGTTCAAGAGATCACTCGGAGCCTTCTTGATACAAGAACACCTTTTGTCAAGTCAAGCCAGCAGAGGAAAAGGAAAAGACAAAATGAAAATCCGGTTGGTAACCCAAGGCTTACTGCACGGGTGGCAGCTTCGGAGGCAAAGAGTTCAAAGAGTTCGATCCCTGCACCAGCAGTCAAAGATTCCGAGGATGGCAACTTCGCTTCTGTGCAGCTTCGCATGATGATGAAGGATGTTGGATCAAGCATTCATTCTCAGCGAGCAATGCATGCACCTGTTGGGTTGGATCCTGCCTCTCAAAAAGCGCTACAACATGTTTTGCGGCCAAATGAGAACTTCTCTAGAGTTGTGTCTTTGCCAGCCTATGTCCACAGAGGTCCTGGTGCAACGAAGTTGTTGCCAAATTCAACTGTTAGAGAACGAATGTCAGCTTGGCTTGAGTCCACAGAGGGACTTGCCTGGAACCAGCAGCGGCAAGAGTTGTGGAAGACATGTATGTCCACCGACTCATGAGAAAAAGTTTATCCAATCCAACTTGCTGCAACCGGGTTTATGTGCAAAGTAGCAACTAAGTTGTCAAATGAGCAACCGTAAAAACCCCGGCAATACTAAATATGTATTCGACGGACATTGGTTTATGGAAATTGATGGAAATTAAAAACACGAGGTAAGCGATGGGACCTTCCCAAATTAGTGATACCCCTTTTCAAGGTTATGTCATCATTTCTCTAATATCCACATTAGCGATACCCAAATATCACATATTCATTCATAGTTCATCACATATATATATATATAAATGCAGCAGTTTCCTGCAAGCGATACCCCCTCAAGTTTATCATATATCATTATTGTACAAACATGTGGTAAGCGATGGGACCTTCCCAAATTTGTGGATGTCCTTTCCGTGAACCTAGGGTTTTCACAATCGCTCAAATATTGTCAAATGCAATATCTTGTGAATTCCTTCATTGCTGTGGTATTCCAATGCAATATCGTTTGCAGTCGTTTTAATGCTATACTTCGTGAGAACCCAAACCATAATCAAGTTGACCAGCCCATGCTTTAGCTTTAGCTAATTATTGTTGATAGTTCCTCATGTAGCAATGCATGTTAGGCTGTTTACAATTTTCCTGCTGGTTGGCCATGCCACTACCCAAAAAAAACAAAAGATGCAAAAAGGATCCTCCCTGGGTTCCTTTTTTGTTACTCTTCCTTGGCCGGGGTCATTTTTGTATAGGTGGCAAGCCAATAGGAAAATTGCCCCCCCGTGGGTTCGATGTTTGCCATTTGGTGTAAAACTTCCGTGTGTCCAGGTACGGGACCTAACATTGCATGATGTGACTGGCAACCTCAATGCTTGCAACATCGATGCTGGGAACCTCAATTCTGGGATGCAGTCGATATTTAGTGAGCCAGTTTTTTTTTTGCATCAACATCGAGGATGTGAAGCTGATCGCACAATGGTTACATGTCAGACTATGTCAGAGCTACAGCCAAAATTTACGGTAATGGAAAGTTGTCTTCGAGTTTTGAAATTTGAACTCTTCAGCAATTGATGACTTGCAGCCTTGGAGCTATACTAAATATTGACCATGTTCCTAATGTGTGAGTTCGGAGTATAGGCAGCAGACTTCCATGCCAGCAATGAGTGGCATTTTCATGGAATGGTGCTTGCACCTCGTGAGCTGTTTTGATCCATCAAGGAAGGGGGGTCGAGCTCAGAGATTTAGTGAAGTAGTAGTACCGAAGAATCTTCGAGAAGATCTCAATGCCAACAGGTTTCTTGAAACAAGGACCAACAGGTTGCTTGAACTGAAACAAGGACACTTGTCTCTGCAGAGCCTTTGTTTACATGCATTTCAAAGATCAACCGGAGGTCACAGCTGCCACCGCCATGGGGAAATCTAGCGATCTTTCTGGCCAGGGGCCCACCATTGTTCAGCGTGGTGCAAGAATTTCTCTGGAGGAGAGCATATTTAGTGATTTTAATTGTTGATGGGATTTTGATTCTAGAATTATCTTCACAAACCCAACCATCAATCCCCAGAATGTAATTTGTGCGATGGGATTGTGATTCTAGAATTATCTTCAAGAACCCAACCATCAATCCCCAGAATGTAATTTGTGCGAATTCCAGGACATCAGCATTTCGGAGAGCAGTGGCTGGCGCCCCATTGACCCTTTTCGACAAGATGAAATCCGAGGGGATTTGCTCAAGGGCTTGGTGGATCACAACCTCTTCAGGGATCCCCAGCTCTTGAAAGCGTCCGATGGCAAGAACCTTCTTGACATCAAGGCACATGTGTATAGGGGTGTATTCCTAACCTATATATGTTATATTCGGCTATTCAGAGGCATGATTGGTCTCAGCCAGACATATTATTAAAATAGAGCTAATTTATTAATTTAATGGTAACCACCCGAAAATACAACCTATTTATACTTATTGGGAAACTGATTTCTTTTTGGACCTCAAGAAATCAAATTAGTATATATATAATATATAATAAATACAATATATTACATATGTATATTAATGCATTATATAATACATATATCATATCTTATATATATAAATATATATAATTAAATTATAAGATGGTATAGATATTATATTCATATATTATTTTTTGTATGTTATATATTTATGTGTGTTATATGTATATTCTATATTTATTATTGATATATATATATTATGTACTACTATATTATATTTTTGATTTTAGATACATGATAGATATATTACATAATATACATTATGCATATAAATTAAATACATATTTATGGTCATCCTGTTGTGGTTACCATTCGATATTACCTTTCCGCGACATGGCTGCACCATGCCACTGCAGGGCCTGATCCTCATCGGCGATGGACTCCAGTACATCTCCACACTGCAGCAGCTGAAGATGGAGTGGCAGAAAGCTGGCTCACCAGAGGCAGGTCTGTGCGTTTGAAACTGTGTTGGTTACCTGTGTTGGCTAGCTTTTCTTTGTGGTTGAAGGATTCAGGCTTGAATTTCCATCACGAAAGAAGTAACTCGTGCTTGCCATAGGATCAGATTTATCGCAGCCTGGGGTGTTTGTGTCACAAATCACCAATGGGGAACCCCCTTACATGATATACATATGTGTATTGTTTATCCATTCAGTGAGGGGAAGAATTGCATTGCTTGACATGAATGTATTTTATATGTACTTATTATTGTCAGGCCTCATACACATTTTTTTATTGGTATATGACTGAAATGAAATTTATGTTATGAGACATTGACATTCCTTTCAAAGATCAACAAAATCCCAAAACAAAAGAACACCAAAGTACAAGCTAAAAAGTATGACCATGCAATACTTTGTGCCGGGGTGCCGGTGCCGGGAAATAATTCCACCAGAATTATCTAAAACATGCCTATGTTTCATAAAAATCTTAGCTTTTACTTACTTCGAAACATACATACTAATACACAATGACCCTTCAGTACTTTAGGTGCCGGGCGCCAGGAAATAGCTCCACCAGAATGAGCTAAAACATACCTATGTTTCATAAACAATTTTAACATGCACACTAATAATGACCCTGCATGCTGAAACTGAAGTAGTTTAGGTGCCGGGGTGCCGGTGCCGGGTGCCGGGAAATAATTCATCAGAATAAGCCGAAACAAAGCTATGTTTCATAAACATTTTGGCTTCTACTTCGAAACAAAGATACTAGTAAGGAACATAATGATCTTGCAGTAGTTTAGGTGCCGGGGTGCCGGTGCCGGGTGCCGGGAAATAATTCATGAGAATAAGCCGAAACAAAGCTATGTTTCATAAACATTTGGCTTCTACTTCGAAACAAAGATACTAATAACGCACATAATGATACAGTAGTTTAGGTGCCAGGGTGCCGGTGCCGGGTGCCGGGAAATAATTCATCAGAATAAGCTAAAAGAAAACTATATGAACATAGCTTTGTTTTAGCTTATTCTGATGAATTATTTCCCGGCACCCGGCACCGGCACCCCGGCACCTAAACTACTGCAAGATCATTATGTTCACTTCTAGTATACTTAGCAGCTAGCAGTGAACATAATGATCTTGCAGTAGTTTAGGTGCCGGGGTGCCGGTGCCGGGTGCCGGGAAATAATTCATCAGAATAAGCTAAAACAAAGCTATGTTCATATAGTTTTCTTTTAGCTTATTCTGATGAATTATTTCCCGGCACCCGGCACCGGCACCCCGGCACCTAAACTACTGCAAGATCATTATGCTCCTTACTAGTATCATTGTTTCGAAGTAAAAGCCAAAATGTTCATGACACATAGCTTTATTTTAATTTTAACTTATTCTGATGAATTATTTCTCGGCACCCGGCACTGGCACCCCGGCACCTAAACTACTGCAAGATCGTTATGTTCCTTACTAGTATATTTGTTTCGAAGTTTTCGGCTTGTTCTGATGAATTATTTCCCGGCAACACCCCGGCACCTAAACTACTGCAGGGTCATGCAGGGTCATTATGTTGACTATTAGCAGTAAAAAATAACTATATATGGATCTGGGTCAAAATGGAAGACCTAGGGGACCACAGATGTTAGTCTAGTTTAGTATTCACCATCCAATTATTGGGGTACCTAATTTTGACCCATACCCATATATAATTGTCCTGTCTAAGGGATTTTTTAAAGTAGATAATGTTTCCAGGACTGATAGCCTTCCCACCTGAATTGCCAGGATGGGGAAACGTATGTGGAGAAGCTGGTGGAGATCTTCAAGACCGGGGTGGTCTGTGACTTTGTGATGTTCCAGGATGATGATCGAACGACCCGGGCCTTGTGGTACTGCTCCGTGCATGATGAGGAGAGCAACAAGTACAGGCCTTCGTCCTTTCATAGCAAGATCAGCGTGGTGGCTACACAATACGAGCGCTACAAGACCCTTGAGGAGACGAAGAAGCAGATCGTGAAAGCTCTGGGGTCTGGAAAGGCCGTGACAGTGGGGAAGTGGATCCGAGCTTACAAGAATCTTCATGCCGATGTCAAGGCTGTCATGTCAAGGCAGAAGGGTCATATCAAATACACGTGCTTTTTTTGGTTGGTGTTGAGCCGGTTGGTTTGTCAAGCGGTGCTTGTTTGGGCATTGTGATCTATGGATTTCATGAGCTCTTTGCCATCATCATATGACAAGGCACAGAGCAGTCGCCCTGTCCAGGTATGAGAAAGTGCCACAGACTTACTTATGGGACAATCCATGGATGATGGGAGAAGGAGTGAAAGCGAAGCAGAGGTTGTCCCCTGAAGTGATCCTACGTGGTTTGGACCTGATTCTGAAAGAATCTCATCCGCACTTGATTGGCTGCCCATCCATGGTCCATGGCTCCTTCATTCATCCCAACTTGCTTTCCACTTGTAACTGTAACACAGAGATTTTCTATGACAGTGCATCCCAAATGATATCATGCACCAACATGTATGTATATATACATATATATTATACACATACATAATATATTTGTATATTATTATACAC